CTGCTGACTCTTCCTCCACCAACCACTGGTATTTTACTGAGACCCGTTGCTTTTGATTGTGATGTCTTCTTTTCTTTGGGGGGCGGTTGTTCTTTTGTTTTGGACGGCAGCCCTTGGATCGCCTGTTCACCTGCTCCATCCGGACTATCTGGCGATGCCTGCACAGAACCCCTAACATTAGCAGAGGATGGTGCATCTATCTGCCAAGAAACAGGTGGAGGGGGAGCAGAAGCAGTTTGTGGTTCTGGAGTTTTCGGTTGGGAAACTGGGGCAGGTGGAGAAACTGGGAGAGATTCAGGGTGGGGGGTATCTATGGATGATGCCACTGGGGTTTTGGATCCAGAAAATTTGGTCTGGGCAGGTGCTGGAGGAGTTTTAGATACGGAAACTGGGATTTCAGCAGGGGAAGTAAGAACTTTAGATGAAGACTCCTGCATTTTAACATGAGTAGAGAGTTCTTTAGATAGAGAGTTTGGGATCTCAGCAGGGAAGGTAGAGCATTTAGAGGAAGATTCCTGCATTTTAACTGGAACAGATTGATCCTTAGATACGGAAACTGGGACTTTAAGAGGGGCAGGGCAGATTTTAGATTGACAGATATCAATTGGAGTTGGAGAGGGAGGTTCTTTTGATGCAGGAATTGGTATGTTAGCAGGCGAAACTTTTATCTGATCCGGAGCAGATGCAGTCGCCGATGATGTTGGAGCAACGTGAGTGAGGGGAGCTGTTTCTGTGCGCTGTACGGCGGGCATCTTATCTAAAGCTACTGATATTGCAGTGGGTTTAGTTGTGGGTGGAATTTTATCTAATGAAGCTGAAGACGGAGACGGAACAGATCCAGAGCTGACTTGGGTTTTAATTGCAGCATTGGAGGTTGAATAAGGGCCGGGGTCAGAAACTGTTTTGTTAAGGTCCAGATGGTTAGGGGTTAGGGTGGGCTTGGAAGGGGCCACTGATGCTGAACCAGAAGTTGTGGTTGATGTGGTGAAGGATGTGATCTTTGAGGAAATGACTGGGGCGAAATGTGGGGATGTGGTTTTATTCGTAGAGGGTACTGATGATGCCAGGGAATCTTTGGATTCTCCCACAGCTGAACTTTGAGATTTAACGTAAGTTGACTTTTCCAGGTTAAAACTACTACTAGTGGGAGGCTGGGTGATGGGGATGGGAGGACTGTAGGTTTCGGCTACGGGTTTAGATGATACAGCAGGTGAAATAGACGTACGATCAGGTTTACTTACAGGTGCTTTATTTGGAGCGATCTCTGTAGCCATGTAGTTAGCGGTAGAGGTCAAAGTCGGACTGAATGAAGAAACTTTTTCCACAGTTGCAGATGCATATGCAGGGGGTGTGGTTGTGGTGGAGCTTGGAGTGGACTGAATTGTCTTGGAGATGGAAGATGTAGTTGATGACGATGGAGCTGTTGAGGGTTTCGTTAAAGAAGGAGCAGGAGTTTGTTTACCTTGCATGGTGGCAGGAATAGAGTCTGAACTCAGTTTGACAGGATGAGAAGTCAAAGTGAAAGATGAAGATGAGACAGCTACAGAAGAGGGTTTAACTGTAGCAGTGGAGCTGACTGTTGAGGAGGTTGTGGTAGAGGAGGAGAGGGTAGGTTTGGAGAACGGAGACGTGGATGATACAGGAACATTAGCATTTAGAGCACTGCTAACTTTACCCCACTCTGCTTCCACATCAGCCATGATGTCTCCACCCCCTGAGATTGAGTCAAATGTCAGGAGAGAGGAGATATCTGCCAGCAGTGAGCTAAGGCTGTTATCACCAGGTACCAGCGGGGGTTCTGGGGTAAGCAAAGGGGACACATGCTCTTTTGTAGGACTCACAGTCTCTGCAGATTTCACCTGTGGAGCCGGGGTCTTTGACGCGGTCATAGCTGAACTTTCTTGAGTAGTAGAGCTCTGGACAGGCTCTGTACTCTCGGTTTCAGAGCTGTCCAGCGTGCGAGGCTGGCATTTGGGTGTGAGTGTCATGTCATCTTTGATGATTTCCACACTGTTAGTGCGGGATGACTGAAGAAGAGGGCTCGGAGGGGCTTCCTCTTTGTCTTCCTTATCCCTTGATCGGAGCTTGACGTTGCTGAAAAGGCCCTTGAGTCCACGACGCTGCCGAGCCGCAGGCTGGGTCACTGTTTGGGCTCTGCGGTCCCCCACTGCCCTTCTTCCACCCCTCAACAGTGAGAGGAAGCTGAGGGACTTGGCTGAGCTGGCTGAAGAGATGGAGGTGCGGGCAGGAGCCGTTGCCAGAGCATCATCTTCACCGAGTGCTTCGTCCTCTGGCTGCTCCCCATCTTCTTGTTTCACCTCTTTTCCATTTTCCTTATCTTGCTCCTGCTCTGAATCCTGCGTTGAAGTCTCAGATAATCCCTCAGATGTTTTACTCCGGCTGACAGATGACTTGTTGTTTCCGTCGCCTTTTTTTCTTATGGAAAAAATGTTACCTGGTTTACGTTTTCCAAACAGCTTGAATCCTTTTCTGATTTTTCCAGTTGGCTGTGATTCATTAGGAGGAGGGTCCATGTTTTCTGTCTGTACATCCATCCTCTCTGTGATTCCCGCCACCTATATCTAAGTCCTTTGTCACTTGCTCAGTTATTATTCCAAACCTTGTGATGGAGCATTTATATCCAGGGCTTTATCTCCGTCTGTAGCCTTGCACTCTGCTGCTCACACTGCGTTTCTTTATCAGTCTCCTGTATCCCTCCCTCCCTCTGTGGTTCCCATCCAACCCTTTCTCCTCTGTTTCTCCCGCCAAAGCACCGCCCCTTTGCCTTGCTCTTTTTTTTTTTTTTTGGTCTGGCTCCTCTCCCTGGCTGCCATGGCAACTGAGGAGCTCAGCAGCTTTCGTCACCAATGCAGAGCCAGAGGCTGTCATCAGCTAGCTCTGAAACACAGCTTTCTTTTTTTTTTCTGTCTGATGACTGTGTTTACATAAACAGGAAAAACAAACGCTCCATTAATAGATTCAAAATCAGACTTCTAAATAACCTGACTAAAAATAAAATAATTTGATGCAAATTATTGCAAATAAGCTGAAGGGACTTTCAGCAGCAACATACATGTATTTTTACCTTCATCAAATCAGAAAAAAAGAAAATTCTATAAAATGTATATCTACAGTATATTGTAAATGTATTTGTGAGCTGCATAGTTTACAATGTTGGGGGGGTCATTTTGCATGTTTACCTACAGGAAATTTCTTGTAAGTTAATTTTTTGTTTATGTTACTTCAATAAAAGCATAGCTCTAGACTAAATAATTGAAATCCTAAAAATTTTTTACAAACTATAGTAGGTTTCTGACATTTCAAAGAGCAATACATCAAATATTACAAAGCAACTAGAATTCTATGCAACTTTTAAGTCACATAATGGCAAACAAAATAAATGAAGAAATTATTAGTATATTTAAAAATGCTTTGAACTAGATTTGAAAAAGATTTTGAGGTCACCCTCGTGCGACCTCTTGTGGTTATGTTAGGAACAACACACGGCCGTAATAAAAAGGAAAGGGAAAAAAGAGGGCCAAAAATGAAGCTGCTTTCTCATCCACTTTCTGCCAGAATGAGCCTGTGTAAGTGGGTCAAAATTCATACTTTATATGCTTGAGTTACTTGATTTTAAAATGTGACACACAAGCTTTATGAGGCATTAGGTATATTAAATATATCCTCATCACAGACACAATGATTCGCTTCAAACATTTCTCTTAATTTTGGAGAGCATGGATTGCTGTTAATGAAAATCCAAAATTCACTTCCTCAGAAAATATAAATATTACATAACACCAATAAAAATACTTCTTTTATCATATGCAAATATTTCTTTATGGCCTTTAGTGTGAGGGAATATTGCTGACTTATGAGTCCATTACATCATTCTCATAGAAAGCAAGTCATAAAAGGCCATTGCTTTAGAAGCTGGAGTGCTGTATTCAAGAGCGTGCTGAGTGCTGTACCAAAGCATAATAAGAGAAAATTAGATGGAAGGAAAAACATGGTAGAAATAGCTGCACAGGCAATGATTGAGAAGATAGCTACAAGAGTTACATCCAGATATACAGGATGTATACTGTCTTAAGTCAGGTTTTCGGAAGCCACAACAAAGAGACATATTTAAGACATGGGCTACTACTTTTGCCACAAAACTAGGAAGCAAAAAACAGAAAGAAAAAAAAAACAACTGAATGCATTGCTCTGTCATGATTCTACACGAAACCTACTTTTTAATTGAATTACAAAACTGAATCAACTTTATAAATGATTATTTTGTCCCTTCTGCATCTGGTAAGATGCAGAAGGGATAGGTGCTTTGATGCACTTCCAATGTTGCAGATAATTTAAAGGCCTTTAAATGCTGACCTGCAAAGAAAGCTGATATAATTGAAGCTGTAGACTTTAAAAATAAATCAGAGGGACATAAGTCAGTTGCACGCTATGGAAGTTTTCATCTGTGTTGCATTGTAAGAATATATAGCTTTATAATGATGCTGAGGTTGGTTCTTGATTCACAGCTTCAAAGTAACTAAAAAAAAAGCTTATTTCACTGTTTGTCATTTTGGTCTTGTCTTTTATAATCTATTAAATTAAATTAGTCCATTTCAATCTTAAACATATGTCTAACAGAGCCTACTTAAAATCTCTAATCGTAAAGTCTGTCACTAACATTAGACAGACAAATGTCTTTTTTATATATTGCTTTGTTTCTAATAAGTTAAAATAAACTACAGCAACCTTTTGTTTTTCTCCAAATGACCAACAGTTGAATAGTGTTCACTTTTTTCTTTTTTTTTTTTTGTATTTTAGTTTTCAAGACAACCAGTTCAACTGATGTGCAAAAAAATCTTAATTACATCAATGCAGAAAATTTTTGAAAATACAAAAATGATTCTTTAAAAATGACACCTCAATAAATAATATGCACTCAATTCTTTAACAAGATGCTAAGGGTAAATATGACATATTCCATAAGTTATACAGTTCCAAAATATGTTAGTTGAAAGCGTTGACATTCCTGGTCTTCTTTAAACATCATGCTCCTCCAGAGGAGCCTGCACGATTGCCTTGTGGTTCAGCACAATCTCTTGCTCCTCAATTTCAACTGGATCGTACAAGCGACGGTATAAATACCGGGTGAAAAGGCTTATGATGAACATCTCCATGATCAGCATCTTCTGACTTAACACTGCAGATACCCACAAAATAGACAGAGAGAAAAGAAGACATGATATGAGTTGTAATATTTCAGCTGAAGTGGCTAAAAAGTATTCAGAGTTGTTTCTTACTAAATCCGCGGTACTGAGAGGAGAGAGGAGGGGAGCAGGCGATGCATCCGTTTGCAGCCAGGATGTTGATGATTGATGTCTGCAGCTGGGTCAGCACAAATGTGAGCTGAAAAGCAAATAGATAAATCCTCATTATAAGCATGCATGTGGAGGGAAAATGTTTGCAGTGCTCTAGCTTTTCAATTCAATTCAGTTTATGCCTATAGCGCCAATTCCCAACAAAAGTCATCTCAAGACACTTTACAGAGACAATTCAACCAGATCATCCAGTCAGATCTGTTAAAACTTTTCTATCCAAGGAAAACCAGTGGATTGCATCGACTCATTGACTCGAAGGCAATCCCTCACATTAAGCATGCCTCAAAGCTAGTACTTTAACATGCAGAACCTCTCTTCCACATTTTGACACATTACAATGAGTGAAAAATTGGATGATGGTGCTTTGGACGGATGAGATCAAAATCTATTTTTGTCCCCAATAATAACAATATATAGGACACTTAATATACAAGTGGTAGTATAATGTTTTAGAGACGTTTAAAGTTACATGGGATTTAGTTATAGTTGGAGGGAATAATAATAAATAAATTGATTTAAACACAGAGTAACCATGGAAGTAAAATTGTTAGAGATTACAAAAGGTTTAGGCCTTGGAAGGGGATTTACTTCCAAGAATCAGAGAAACCCTTAAAATACTGCAAGAGAATGGTCCTGATCAGGGATTCCCAAACATCCAGCCTGTAACCCCCACAATTATACATATAATTACTTTGTTCTGTATTAGTTAAAGAGTAGTAATTATGTTCAGTTCTATTTTTATTATTATTAATGGATTTTTAATATCTAATTGGACATTTAATCATTTATTTGTAAATATGCCCAATTTATTGATATTTTTGATCATTTATAATGTATAAAAATAAATAAATAAGGGTTACATATACTTCTTTAATGATGCACAGAGGTGAGTACATTGTACTCAAGTAAAGGTAGCACTACTTCAACATATTTCTACTTGAGTAAAAGTACTATGTAGCTGTCCAATAAATTAATCAAGTATCAGTTAAAAAGTTCTTTAGGAAAAGGCTACTCAAATTCTGACTATCTGTTTACCTTTCAAAATGATTTAACGAGACTGACTGTAAATAAATGTGGACATTTCTTTTTTCAAAGACTGTAATATGATATTTAATACAACGAATAAAAACTCAGACCGAAGAAAGACTTATCCAAGTCCCTTTTGTTAGTATATAGTTTTTTTTTTGTTCTTTAGCATACATACAAAGCTATTTACTTACAGTATCTATTAAATGTATAACATACATTACCTTAATTTAATGTCATACAGGTCTAAGTAAACAGGTAAAACGCAACAATTTTCTACAAATAAGAAAGCTAATTTTAATCAAACTTTAATTTTCTATATTAAAGTAAAGTAAAAAGTATGGTGCAATGAAATTACTCCTAAATGTACATTTTTGTCAGAAATGTATTTAATTAAGTTTAACTGAGTAAATGTAACTAGTTATTACCAACCATTGATGTTAGATGTGTTCATTTTTATGAGATATTTACTTTAATGTCTTTCATATGTTTGCCCTCCATATACCTCACATCACAATCATTATAAAAATGTCTAATAATCCCCCAGGGGGTCCTGACCCCTGCTTTGGGAACACCTGGTCTAAACCAAAACAAATTCATGAATTAAAATGACTAAATCAAATCCAAATATAAATCCATTACAGTAAGTATTAAAAATGTGGTAAATTCTACAGCTTATCCCCACAGATATACTTTAATTTTTTTTCCTCTGACTGATTGATTTTGAGCTATTTGGCAAGCTGGCAAAAACCTCAGGGAAAAGTATCCCTAAAAAGGTATCTCCTTATTTAACATTGCTTTATTTTTTCATTTTACAGTTACATGTAGTATTGGAGCCTAATTTCTTTATTAAGCAAAAAAACAACAACAAAAAAATAAAGTTGACTTACTTGGTACATTGCATACTTGGGAATAATTTTCACGCTGCGTAAAAGGATGTTAAGGTTCATGAAGACGATGCCGACTGGCCAAAGGGAAATTACGGTGAGAACACCAACAGACAGGTTGATCCAAAGGGTTGCACTTCTGATCCCTAGCTAAAAAAAAAACAACACAAAGACATCTCACATTTTTTTATTCTTAACAAAAGGATTAAAAGATGTAATTTAAGCTCTTACATTTGTGGGATCATAGATGGCATTTCTCCAGAGAATTACAGAAATGATAGAGAAAACTGGTTTTAGGATTGCATACTGTAGAGATCCCAACTTCAGCAGGAATAACATCTTTCTAAACAAATGCAGTAGAAAGAAACAGCATTAGCACAGCAGTAGAACATGGATATCATAAAATGAAATGATGGAAAAATAACTTAATAAAAATACTTAAATCAATAAAGAACATGGGACAAATAAAAGGGAGAAGAACTCAAATAGAAAAGCGTACCGTGACATCGGTACGAGAGGTAAACAGGGGCAGCAGCAGCAGCAGGGTCCTACGCTGATCTTGAAGTTTTTACCAGCAAATATTTTTAGAAAAGGAGTGGAGCCTCCAAACTCCTCAATCAGCAAACCCAAAATCTTGTACACCACAACTGAAAAATAACTGAAAATGGAAAAAAAGAAATTAATGCATAACTTATAACACGGATTAAATCTCCAACAAGTAAAAATATATAATGGAACTATTTTCATTTATTTGTTTAAAAAAAAAAAAAAAAAAAAAACAGTTGTCCAAACCTCAGCTGAGTTCAAATCTCCATCTCTCAATGCAAATAAAATGGGAGAAACATGCATCTGTTTAACTGCATTAGCAAACATTCTCTAAAGTCAGGTTCACGACATTTCTATTGTTGATTAAACTAAATTTTTTAAACACACAGAGATAAGGGATGAAAACAATGAGGCAAAAATTAATTAAAACAGCTATGTAGGGAAGCAAACAAAAAACAACTTCTGCTCATGTAAAAACTATTTCCCTGCAGTTAACTGGAAAAAAAAATAGCCTTGGAAATTAATAATCTTTAACAACATGGTCATAATGGCCAATAAATCATCTGTGTTTAAATTCAGATATTATAAAGGATATTAGGGGGGTAACATCTAATTAGAGATTTAAGATGAACATACTGTATTGTTTTCTTTTTATTAAATCTGTCAGCTTGGATTCTAACAAAATCATTTCTAAAAAAAGAAGCGAGGGGAGCTCTCTATTCTATATGTGGTTGAGCTTTGATCTGAGGGTGTAATGATTCATCAATCAGTTAAAATTATACTATGAACTCCAGGTGAGGTTTTGTGGCTTTTATATTTATTACTCTGCGGCCATTCACCTTACACAGTTTTCAAGAACAAACACAGGGGCCAATCCTAAACCTTTGCTATGTAAGAAATACAGATTGCATTGGTTAATAAATCTGGGCTCCTCTTAACTTTATGTAAAGGATTAAAGTAAAGCTTAGGCAGAAGTAATACTGACAAATCCAGGTCCTATACTTTGAATTCAATGTGGGCAGCCCATCTCAGTGTCATGCATTGAAATTTCAATTAAAATGAAGAGATTACTAAGAAAACAGCTGTATACTAACTTCCACCCCACAGATACGGATGGGGTCCTTGTGAGTAGGCTGGAAAGAGAGCTTCAAATGCGTTTGTGCAAAAGTTATAGATCTGTCAGTTTTGATTTGCTTGTATAGATTTGATGATTAAAAATTTGGAAGAAAAGTGAAACCAATATGGGTCATAAATATTCTACTTTTTTATAACCCATTTGAAGCACAGCAACGACCAAGCTTGTGCCGGTCTGCATATGCAGATATGGGATGTGCCAAGCCAACCTAAAATGGTCCCATGCAAGAATCCAGTACTGAACCCAAGCCAACTTGACAGTAACACAACTCATATTGGGCCCCAAAAAAAAACCATGTTGGGTAAGGAGGACGAAGCCAAAACTCACCATGCTGACGTCATGTCTGTGATCATCACTGCACGAGGAATCCACAACCCGAAGCAGGCCATGGTGGCGATGATCTGAGACACAAAGAGTACAATAACAGCATACTGTTCATCTGTAATTTTCATTAAATGTATTTGTAGTTAGTTAAAGTAATATGCTGTGTCCATTATCTGTTTTCTATATGGTTTAAACTTAGCAGCAACTTCTAACAACCTCTGAGACCTGAATACTTACTGGTGACACACCACTAATCCAGATGACGATCGTCTTCTTGGGATAAGGCAGGTGTTTGTAAATAAACAAACACTGCTCCAGGAACAAAAGCAGGGAAACACAGGACATAAAGGTGAGCACGAAATAGAGTCCAAACTCAAAAACATCTAGTCCTGTCATGGAAAAACACAAGAGAAATATTCAATTATCAAAGTCAGGAAGTAATAGAGGACCATGTTCAGTTAAGTTTTATTTCATTACTTCAAACTGACAGTTTAGGGTAATATAATCAGCAACAAGGATGTAGTAATGAGACTCACTTACGGTTGATCATGTCCAGAGCCAGTGGAGGCTCCAGTAAACACTCTGGCTCTATGGTTCGTCTGAAGTCTTCATCCATGTTGACCAGGTCTTCCTCTTAAAAGCTTTTTCAAAAAGACTGCAACTTGACTGCAAAATGCTGGTGCTCCTTTCACATTGCCAGAGGACTCAAGAGGCAGAAACACCTACAGCTGCTCTTTACGCTTCAGCCGACTGTGATGGAGTGAAGACACACAGCCTATAGGTCACGGTTTTAAACAGCAGTCGCCGCTGCTTATTCATTCACAGTCTTGAGTCATAGTGATTAGAGAACCATCAAGGGCAGAGTTTTAGTGAATCGGGTGAGACAGAGCATTAAAATGAAGGGCTGGACTTTGACAGGGTGTGTTGATTCCTTACATGAAAATAAAATAGAGTATAAAGAGATAAAGGAATTTTTTTCGAGCATTTTACAGCTAGTGTTTCTCACCCTCCAATCATCTGGTGTCGAATTTGCCTAACAGCTTCCAATAGAGATTGAATTAAATTCATTGCTTAAGCAGAATTATTACATTTGTTTAAATATTATCAGTGATAGGGGAGCCAAACTTAAAAAAATAAATAAAAATAATAACTTCAACCTTTTGAACTATTCCTATACTTTTGCAGACAAAGCAAAAAAAAAAAAAATACAAGCTGATCCTTGTAAAATCTTGGGTAATGTATAAACTATCACACTACTTCACATTTGTTGTGACACTGAGGCCATTCACCTCATCCAGCTAAGTATCCAGTTAAGTATCTCCTGTTAACTCTATATGTAGTTTTCCAGAGAAAAGGTCAAATTATCACATATCTTTTCTCTGAGGATAGTGAATGCTTACATGTACAGAATAAGATATTAAAAAACCAAGAATTAAATTTGAGGTCTAGATTTAAGAGCAATCTATTGTATGTATCTATTTCCGCATGTATTGGTTAGAAGTTGGGAGACATAATTTTGGACCATTTTCAGTCAAGCAAAGTTTCGTTGTGATTAAAATGTAGATTACCACAATAGCATGACCTAATGCAATAATGGTTTGGATCAAGAGAAAGAATCAGACCCTAGCAGGAGGCTTTACTGGCCATTTATTTTGGTCAGTGTGGATAAATAATAGTTTCACAATCTTAAATTTCCAATCCAGTAAATACATTTAAGCTCTTAAGAGGATATCAGATTTGAGAATCATCTTGTTAGTGAAAAACAACATTTGAAAAAATAAGAAATCGTTGATTTCCAAAGTAGTGGATGAACATTTAAACCTTTCGAGAGCAGACCCCTTCAATTAAATTATTTTTATTTACATAGCGGCAATTCACAACACATGTCGTTTCAAGGCACTTAACAGAGACAATTCAGCGAGATCATACAATCAGATTGGGTCAAGGTTTTCTATCTAAGGAAAACCAGCTGATTGCATCGACTCATTCAAAAGCTATTCCTCACACCAAGCATGCTTGTAGCGACAGTGGAGAGGAAAACTTCCTTTTAACAGGAAGAAACCTCCAGTAGAACGAGGCTCAGTGTGAGCGGTCATCTGCTGAGGCCAACAGTTCCTGGTCCTGTGCTATTACCTCTGTACCTCACTCCATTTGTAAAGGACTTAATCAATTATGGCTTCTCATTAACACACAAATTTATCATAATGCCACAGCTGCAACCCGAGCCTCATCAGCTCTATCACCACCCATTGCCTGTCTGGAGATTAAGGTATTGCTGTAGCTTAACTTCCTCAACTAAATACCTCCAAAACCAAAGTCAGTCTAATCTGCAGCCCTACATTAGACCCAGTCATCATCTAAAACCAGCATCACTCTTTCTGGCTATGCCCTCTCTCATCAATAGTCACAAATTGGCCTCCCCTCTTTAAAAGTAGTGACTATAAGGTCTCCCTCCTCTCACACAAATCTACATACAGACATGCCCCTCCCTACCTCAAAGAACTGCTGGAAGAGAACTTTTTGGTTCCCATGCTGCTTTTATTTGCTGATTAATGAACCTACTTGTTTTACTGTTACCGTAAATCCTCTAATATAGGCCCGGGCCTTTATTTCACTCAAGTGCATCGCGGTCCAGGCCTTTATTGGAAAGAGACAAGAATTAGAGACAGGCCTCTATTGCTATTTGAGCAAAACAGACTACCAGTGGAATTACTAAAAATGACA